GAAACCAACCCACCCACCTAGTAGCCACCACAAAGAAACTTTCGAAAAGACCATAATGGGGAAAATATTATTCCACATGTTATTGGATAAATATAAGATGATTGTTTGACAGCATACTTATTTGGAATTCTTCTTTCTCTCACTTGAAATAGTATTACATTTTTTTTCTAATATATAGTTTACAATAAAACAAAGGACCTGAGAGAGAGGAAAGAGCTTTTGATTGCATGAGACACCAATTGGTGGACGAGAAAGTCCACCAATCAGAGATCGTAGGTTGTATGAGTGAACATAATTATAACACCTAATAAGGATTAATAACTATTATTTCAAATTAATTGTCTTCATCTATCTTTTAAGTTACAGGGCAGTGGGGTCTTAAATGGAACAACTGTCCAAACCAAATGCTATTTCATTATAATTATTTTATTAAAATAAGATTATCTCATGACTTGATTCACCTGAAAATAGAATAATCTATATCTTTCATTTTGCTTTCTGTATAAAATAATGTCTTCTCATGCTTTATGAAGATTTGCCCAAGATCTTGTTTTGAAGATTGGGGTTATGAATATATTTTTTAATTTTTTGTATAGTATAGATGCTTGCATCATTGCCCACTTCTTGTATTCCTTCATTTGGCAACTAACTATTTTCCCTATTTATTTTACTAATTTAGTTAGCATTCATTAAACATGGTCAAGATAGGCTTTTTCTTTCTTTTCCCACAGTAATTAGACAAATAAGATTTGGTTTCAGTGGAAGACATTGAGATAAATTACATAGTAGCTTCAATTCATGCTCCATGATAATATCTCGCATAGGAATTAGGAGCAACTTTAGTTGATGGGGAAAATTCTAAAATCTGTAATGAATAACGAATACACGTCTATAAAAGAATATCCAATATATTTACAGACTTTTTTTTTTAAGTAGAGAACACCGGAGGACGATTAGTTTGATCTCATTCTTCATGATTGAGTGAATTTTGTTTTTTTTTAAGATTATTTACTCTTACCAATTATAGTGATTCTTTTTTTTTAAATATTATTTTTTTTTAATCAATAAAAATATTATATTTAGGGATCATAGTATTATCCTTCGCCTTGAATGTTGATTATAGGGTTAAAATGATTAGCTTTATCAATTTCTTCCTATCTTTCTTTGACTTTCGATATTATTTCTAATATGATATTAACATCTTAATCTTCTCTTTAAGCTTAGAATATAACTTTTGTATTAATTGTCACAAGTGGTGTGATCGCTGCATGCCTTTTCGTATTATTATTTTATTCATCAGATCTCAACTTAATCTAACTATTTTATTCACGCACTAAACAGAAAGTATTATTTCCACAATATTTATGAGTAATTAAACCTTCTCAATTTTAACCAAATGTATAATGCATAAGACAAAAACAAGTTGACAAGTTAAGTCTTAATATATAGTACGTATGCAGATTTTTCAATCCCACTCTATTATTAATCGTTCCTATATATATATGTATGCGTGTGGTATCCACATACGTCTAAAAAAAACTATTCCGGGTTATATAGTGCATATTTATAGTACCTATCAAGGTTTATTTTCCAAGATCATTTCTCGTCACACCTTAGATTCAAACAGCTAATTTTATTATAAACCCTAAAAAAATATAAGTCGACGCTATTCATGACTAATATAAAATCCTTCCAATAATATAAAAACTCCTAAGACATAGTATACTATTATTATAGTTTTACAGATGCAATGCATCATTAATTACAAATATCATTAAACTAAACATCCTCCGTCTCTCTCTCTTCGCTATATAAAGAAGAACATTAACACATCTCCTAAAGCCTAATTAAAACCCATCACCAA